CAAAAAAAAAACTAATGAATTACATGTCTTGAATGATTTCAATCATGATAACATTCATTTTGGATGGTTAGATCTTATGATAGCATGAAGTAAATCAGTTTGATTATGTTATGGTATATGACAACAAATCATTGACAATCAGATGGTAAATATTTTTTGTTCTTTAGAATTGATATTTTGTCGGAAGTAATGAAAGAAACAAGCGGAAAGATTGCGAATGCATCTGATTGACAGTAGAATAATTATTATTTATTTATTTTTATTCAAGCACAAGAATTCAATTAGACTGAATGATGATCTATGAAAGTTGAGCCAAGATTTATTGCATATAAAGAAGGAAAAATGAATCATAAGAGCTTTTGACAACATGAAATTACGTGTAAAACTTAATTAGAATTTTAAAGAAAAATTGAAGAATAATACATATGAAAGAATATTTGTTTAACGGGCAAGAAATAAGAATCGTTTTGGCTAGAATTAAATTTTTACTGTTCTTGCATACATTATTGTACCAATTCAAAAAAACCTTCCAGCTTAAACAGGAGTAGCTGGAGAGGGATTTAATCCGCTTAATTTTTGAAAAATTTTCGTTTCATTTCAGCTAAGTTCCAGTGTTTTATTGTCTTTTTGGTTATTGATTCTCCAAAACTACTCGACTTTCCAAAATCCAGTCAACTTTAGCAAGAATCTTCCAATCGGCCTTCTAGGCCATCTATACTTCCCAACAATCCTGACGATGTCGGGACACCGCTGAATATAAATCCTGCATAGTGAAAATGAAAAATGTGATAGAACTACTTTTACTGGAAACGAAAATATTTTACCAATACCTTTTTTCAATTACGGTTAATACATGTTTCGAAATAAAAAGTAAATAGAAATAAAAATATATGCTTTCGCTGCTTCTCTTTCCTTCCCTACTATAGAAGGAGCCTGACTTACTCGCCACGAGAATCGACAACCTTCTCTTGCCTTTGATAGCAAACACTTGAATAGTATGTGATGCGTGAATAAAGTTGAAATTTACCGAAAAAAAAACATTTAAGCAATAAGTATCGACATCTGATAGGAGCAATTTCTATTAGCGACCTCACGTAAAAGGAGCTATTGGATATCAACTATTCGATGTCATCAATCATTAGGTAGGATGATTATTATCTATCAGTTTACTGTCATATATTCTAACCATACGTATGATGTGTATATATTCAATTTAAATTTTTCTTCTTCTTCTAGTATTTATAATTTTCTTTTCAACTACACAAACAAGTCTACAGGATTATATGAAAGTTCAATTTTCATCTTGTGAATAGAACATGTCTCATTAGTCAATTGAAATGATGAAAATTAGTACAGGTGATGATAAACATTAAATAGAAAGTCAAAAATCTCAATCACAAACTTGCAATGGGTGTATCATTTTCATCTATTATCTCCAGATTTCGTAGTAAAGCACATAAAACTGAACCACGTGATATTATAATCGGTCGACGTGATTTAAATTCTATTTGGTATCCAAAAAATGTTATTCGTAATCAAAAATATAATATAATAACCTATATTCCACTTGTTCTTTTTGAACAATTTCGTATATTTTTTAATCTTTATTTTCTTCTTATGGCATGTACACAGTTTGTTCCTGCACTTCGTGTTGGTTATTTATATACATATTGGGCTCCATTAGGTTTTGTCGTATGTGTAACTATGTTACGTGAAGCATATGATGATATTAAACGTGTATATCGTGATAAAGAAATCAATTCTCAAAAATATACATTATTGAGTGAAAATGGACGAAAACAAGAAAAATTAAGTTCAGACTTGCAAGTATCTGATATTATTATTATACAAAAAAATCAACGTATACCTGCTGATGTAGTACTTTTACACACATCAGATAAGTCAGGTAAGTGAAAGGAAGAGTTCAAGATGATTATTATAGAGATCGAGATTGATTAATTTTGTAAAACACATATTAATCCTGTGGTGACGGTGGACATACATATATATGTTTTGAACTTCATTTTAAGTAGGGTTGCGAAATGTGTTTTTCTTGATTATACCATAAGAATGCTCCCTATTACTCTCGTGTTGCTTCATCATTGTGACATCGAATAGCATTATTATGTATTGTATTCATCTACTTTCTTCTGCATTCTGTTGACATAGATTTGTTGTGATAAATTTCGTCATAATAGTTCAGGTGGATTTTCCTTCTCTTTTCTCTCTACTTTCCTTGCCGAATGATGTTCTATGTTTCTGTCGTTACTTGCAATTGTTCATGGAACGATTTTTAGGATATTCACGATAGTTGAAAATACCCGCACATCGCATGTTGAAATTTCCCAATATATTCCATGGGATTTTTCCAATATGTTCACATACGTCATATTGATTTTTATCAACATGTGTCACGTTGGGATTTGTCCCAGGACGAGCATTACGACAGCCGCAAACGACCGTACATGGTCGTACTGAATGTCGTTTGTCATCTTATTCCACATAAGGTTTTCGTATTCTCTCTCCACATAACATCAAAAACCAGTATTCGGGGTGCTCCGTCTGGCTGAAGATTCTACTTCTTTCTTTATCATGCAGCTGCGGTGATATATGAAAAAAATTATTTAAATAAATAATTACTTTTCGATATATTATAAATATTCGAAAGATAAAAAAAATTTATTTAAATAAAATAATACTTACTGTTCGATTTATTATGATAAATATAATGGTGGACATGATTTTTCCGACGACTTTGTTTTGCGTATAACTCTCTGAAAAAGTTAGCTTTTGAGGCGTGGCTTCTGTCAAAATTACAGACGGTGTCTCTACTATATCTATAGAAAATTTTATCCTTGAATGTTGAGTCATAATCATGATAAAACTGAACACATAATAATGAGCAGTAGTCATTTTTGATTGGACAAAATTTTTTGAACGATCTTTTAAATTGAATTATTTGTTCAAAAGAACTGAAAACATATAAATAGAAAGAGGGCAATGTTTATGAAGTGAAATGCTTATTTTATGATTGGCAACTGACAACGTTCATGTAAACTCTATCATTTTTATATAGTGAGTAATTTTTCTTTTCAAATATTTTATTCGAAACAGCGTCTGATGCAATTAGGATAGTAGATGATTTGAAATTTTCTGAGAAATGTTCTTCGGTTTTAATAAGGTATTTTCTCAAAGAAATTGCAGCATCAGACTCTCTTTTGAATACAATATTTGAAAAGAAAAATTACTCACTGTATACAAATAATAGGGAGTTTACATGAATGTTGTCAGTTGTCAGTGATACAATAAGCATATCACTTCATAGACATTTTGCTTTTAAAAGGTTTTACGCATCAAAATGTAGTTCTTATTTTGCTGTTTCTATTTATATGTTTTCAGATCTTTTGAACAATTTTTTAACAAATAACTCAATTTAGAAAATCGTTCGAAAAAATTTGTCCAGTCGAAATGACTAATGCTTATTGTTATGTGTTCAGTTTTATTATGACTGATCATTTAGGGATGAAACTTTCTGTAGATATAGTATAGAAACTGTGTGCAATTTTAGCAGAAGTTGCATCTTAAAAACTAACTTTATAAAACAGTTACACACAAAATACTATCATCCGAAAAAGTATGTAGAGTATTGCATGTCTAATAAAAGTTAAATCTTGAACGAGGTAGATAGAAAAAGGTCACCATTTTAGTCAGACATCTCTACATTATTTTCGATTGATATTAACAATGAATTTACTTCTTGTCGTCTATGAAACAGGCAAAACAGCATTTTTCAGCAAAGGATTCAGAACAAAAAGAAAGATCGTCCACATTTTCTCATCACAATAAATATAACAAAAGTCTAGTCAGCTCATGTTTAGCAAATAAAAAGCATATTGTATAAAAATCGTGTAAAATGAAAAATATAAAACAAA